TTTGTGTTTTATTTTACTATGCTTGTTCATTTCAAAACCATTCCATTCTTTACCAGAAAATAGTCCCACCTAAAATCAGTTGACATTAGTATGCAAAAAGGTAAAATCTTATTTCTTTATTTGCATAGGCTTTTGCAGGATTATGAATATTGTTAAGGAAACTAAAAAAAGAACAAAACTTTCCAGAACAAAATTGAAAAGGTTTCACCAATAGAGCGTAGCGCACAAATAAATCTAAGCCTTTTGGCAGACTTTTGACTTTTGTTTATGGAACGCCCAATGGCATTTCAAAGAATTATGGAATTGTTGAATGGACCATCAGCGATGAAGCTGTAAAACAATTCTGTGGAAGCCGATCCCATAAACAATGCCCCCGGCTACCATTAAAATAATTCACCAATGAGTTTCAGAATTAATTATTGGTAAACTAAAAGCCTCAGTATTGTCATTGGGATTTTTGATACAGTTGTTTAGCCTAAATAATGGATGCTTTGTTGCGATTTCACTGATGGTTTTACTCATTATCGTAAGATTGATAAAACATTTTGTGGAGGGTTAAAAAAGGTTTAAAATTAATCGTGACTTTTTTATCTTACTTTTTTAATAGAATATTACAGGATCAAGTTCCTACTAATTCTCATTGTTTTCGCTCATTTTTATATCGATTAATTTCTCTAAAGGGAGTTCAAAATGTGTTACCATTTTAAATTTTTATACTCAAAATCGTTGGATGTTTTTATGAATTATTTTGCAACGATTATCATTATGTATATGGAATAATGAGCAAGTCCTGTCAAATGCATTTGATCGTTGAACGCTTTCTTTTGATTAAAGTATACAATTTTTACCTAAATTTTAACTACTTGACAAAGCGTTTTTAGAAAACTATGAGGAAACTAAGTATTATTTATTTACAACTAAACTATTTACGTCTCTGGCCTTTGTAGAAATAATCTGCGTGGTTATAAAAAAGCGTTTGTTAAGAAAACGGAAATTTCGCACACAACCTTGTGCAGAGAATATTAAAGCTTAGTTTCCGTCTCCGTTTTAAGTTGCCTCAGGCCCAATGAATATGCATATTATGCGTTTAGATTGTTATTCGTTGTTGCTTACTTTGTGAACAATTAAACTTCGTAGCTGAGTATATTTTGTTTCGACCTTTACATTATCGTGACCTTCAAAACGAGCGTAGGTTGGATTTGTCTCAAACTCTACACGCTTTGTACTTTGAATTTTCTCTCTTCACATAATGTGGCCTTAAAGCTAGTATTTTAACCTACTTTTTACTTTAGATTCAAATAAATACCACTTTATAAATTACAAAAATATTTATTCAAAATCCTTTCTTATATCAATAATCTCATATCATGTTTTAACAGAATCCTGAAACGGAACCTTTAAAAATTTCTTTTCAAGAGAAAACAATGTTACACTTCTCTTTAATGTGACATTTCAGATTTCAGTTGATGATGGTGATTTTGAAATTTTGTATCGCTTTGTCTGACACAATCTGAAAATCCACTAAATCAACCTAAAATTAAAAGGAACTTTTTGAAATTCAAAGTCCAACATCTGAAACATTCCACACTCATTGCACTTTTTGTCACACTCGTCGTTCCAATTCGTCATCGCTATCTCCTATCTGGAAGATGAACACTCGATTGTTCGTTTGGCCCGCGTTATCAGTTGACCTTGACCTCCGCCCTGTTATCAGTTTAGAGCACTGACAGTACGTGGAGGAGGTAGAGCTTGAGGAGGTTCTGCTGTCACGTCGAGGACCTTCTGACATGCAAGTGTGACTAGAGTCGGTAGCGCTCGGCCTCTTGTTGGACAGTGACGTCACACCTGGAATGTGCATGCGTGTGAGAACGAAAACAAAACTGTGAAAAATAAAATAAAAAGATGTGTAAAAAATAAAATGTGTGGTGAAAATAAAAAAGTGTATGATAACATAGACAAAAATAATTTGATATAGACCGTCAGCTGTGCTGCGATTACCATAGGTTCTGGCGCACACCGCTGGGAACGCTATGTAGTTACGGCCTACGCACTACGTAACTACACAGCGCTCCCAGCGGTGTGCGCCAGAACCTATGGTAACCACAGCACGGCTGTCAGTCTATATTTAATTCTTTTGTCTATGATGATAATCATCTTTTAGGGTGGTTAAGTTTTGAATCCATGGGTCGTTTGTTAGAAAGTGATGTTCCACCTAATATGTGAGAGGATGTGAGAATGAACAAAACAATGGGAAATAAAATAAAAACTGTAACAAATAAAATGACCCTAGAAACAAAATGTGCAATGAAAATTAACAGAATCGGTTTCTAAATAGTCGTCCAGTCGAAGAATAATTTGTTTTGTTTGGGTTTTTGGCTAAATTTTATTACTTTTGCCATATTGTGTTTTTTTCGGTACTAGAGGTCGAGCTATTTTTTATAAAACCTAACTAACTTAAAACGAATAATTAAAAAAGTGCCATTCACACGAACCTACAGGACCTTAAGATTGTCTTCGCCTGATACTTCGATGACAACTCTATAAGAAAGTAAATCTTGGTGACCACCTGCATTCAAAAATTGATCTTTTTGGAAGTTTTGTGGATTTTTTAAACCATAAAACTATCAAGAATCTCTAGTTCAGAGTGCAATACTGGTCCTGTGTGATGAAGTAGTCAGAATGTCAGTAATTTGCCACTCTCAGGTCTCAACTAGGCTAATTAGATCCTTCAAATAATCATCTCACGTCCCATGTATGTTTGATGTGCCTCTGTTGAACATATATAATTCTTAACGTTTTTGTTACAAGCGTGACGAATATTTCATTTGATTTTGAATAAGGTTCTTTTGATTTATTTGTTCTTGAAAGATACCCCAACTGTAACTGTAAATTAGTAATTTGTGTGGGTATTAAATACAGTAAGTTATTTAGTGGTGATAAGATTATGCAAGCTGATGGTTTCGACTGGAGTATCAGCTAAATAAGCCTCATCTGAAGTACGGGGATCAGAAATAAATGAATTGTACGATTTAATTAATGGGAATTCTATTGGTAGGTTATAAACCACACTGGAATTACTCCCCCCCTTAGTGCAATTGCCCATTGGGTTCGAGTTATATATTTAGTTAAAAAAATCATTTCTACAAGAAATTACAAAAACTCATATAGCCTCAATATTAAAGTATGAAACCTTAATTAAGAAAATTCTTTACAAAATTTTGATTAACATATTTTTGGATAATTACAAATTTAGCAAATTATAACAAAAATTAATTAGTGAACATTTAATGACGTGTATAAAAGTAGACTTTTTTATTTTACATTTTAATCAACTTATATTTAAAACAATTATTTTATATTGTTAGCTTGTTGACGTTGAATGTGCCGAGGGAAAATGACAATGTTTAAGAGGGCTTGGCTTTAATTAGATTCGCTTTAATAACGTAATATGGGAATCAGGTCAATGTTATTAAAGACTCGAGTAGAAATGTGGTTTGAACTAATTGATATTCAAGCTTTAAAGTTCTCTTGGTTATTCTGGTATAGCCTTAAGCAATTTAAATGGTTATTTGCTTTGTAGTAATCAAGCTTCTACTTAGAGTGAGATGCCTTTGTTGGGGTATTATTGATATTATATTTTATCAAATTGTATGAGATTGATATATTGTTTAAGAATGTTTTTACTTCTTTACTAAATTGTATTTTCTGTTAAATCAGTAACTGAATAAGTTATTATATTTATGATTTTGACAAAGTTTTCGTTTTCTATGATAATTTAGTTCAGTTAGGTTTATTATTTAGTACACAATAAAGTTTACATCCATTCTGATGAATATTTGTTTTAAAATATCCAAAAGGTTTAAACTACGAAATTATCTGTTGATTTGTGAACTATCTTGGTTGGCTTTTGTCACCTGGGCATTAATTTATTATATTGCCTTGGACCATTTTCAGAAAGGTATCAGGGAAGATTGAAATTAGGAAATGGAATGGATTGATCCTTAATTACTGAAAGAAACATTTGATATTGAAATTTTAATCACTCTTTCCAAAATGTCGTTTGTATAATACCTACTATTATAATTTTGATAAGTTTAAGCCTACTTATAAAAGATTATTTGATCGGATTTGTTATTTTGGATATTATATAGGTTCAATTTAGTCACAGAAGCATTCAGTTATTTTTCTTGGATTAGTATAAGTACACAAGAGAAGATGGAAAGCAGCTATGCGAATGGAGTGATCTTAATTTACTGAAAAAAGCTACGGTGTTTACAATTTTAATTTGTTCCAAAATTGTATTTCTACAACAATTCTACTGATTTAATATACGGTACAATGGCAAATTGTATTTCTACAACAATTCTACTGATTTAATATACGGTACAATGGCAAGATTTTCCGATGACAAAAAGTGCCATTGTCAAGAACTTCCGAAATTATGACGTTACGGCCAATTGCTCCTTTTCTCTGAGTGGAAGGAGGAAAAGGTCGCATGAACTTCAGAACTCTTCGTCAACGGTGATTTTCGGGGTGTACTGTCCTAGACTAACCTACTGGTTTTTGTAAGGATAGTCAACGATTTCATGTAACTGAAACCAATAGTTTTGTCTGGGTCAATGAGCTCTTGCCACCGGAAGATCTTGGTGCATCCCAAATACATCTTTGGCATGGTAATCTGTAAACTGTTTGTGAAAACTACAAGCGCAATATGCATCACTATTGTGCATTTAAGAGTTTCTACTGCAACGTATACATAGCCTCCTCTAACACAACGCCGCTGCGAGACAAAAGTGGCAACGCCGCGAGCTGTAGCACTACGGAGTGTGTAGGCCGGCGGTGCGACGTTGCCACATCGTCCGCCACGTCGTGTCACAGGCTGCTCAGATCATGCCATTCGCACATGAGTTATGTACAGTGGACCTACTTGACCGTTAGGACGTTACGGTGGGTGACGGTTCATGCGTTACGTGACGGTCATGTGATGTGATGTGGCTGACCTGTGACCTGCGTGGTGTCCTGGCGTTTGCGCATGCGCGGACAGAACAGCGAGATGAGCGCTCTCCTGAAGTTCTGGCCGGACACGCAGTAGAGTGCGAAGTTGATGCCGAAGTTTGTGTTGAAGAGGAGGTTGAAGTAGTGCTGAAGTATCACTATTTCGCTCACCGTCTCTGTCTGTATAGCCTGGAACAGAGAGCATGTTTGTGTTTGAACGGGAGTTGTAGGTTGTTTATTTCGGTTTTTGGGTTGTTTGAACTTAAGTATTGAACTTTTGTGGAACAGTAGGTTGGCGTAGTGAGGTAGTATCGGGTATTTAACTTTCTTTTTTACCTGTATAGTTTTTTGAAGGAGTTGAACTGGATGGGGATATATTGTTGATTTTGTAGTACGCATTGGAAATATGGAAAATTATATGTTAATATCGAAGTTTGCATTGGACCACAGTATTGAGTGTTGACGTAGAAATTGGTATCTAAGAGAAGGCGAACTAAGTCTTAATGTTAGTACTTAACAATGTGTTGATGTTTAAGTTACTTTAGAACAAAAGTTGGATTGAGTGTTGATTATGTTGAACAGCTGACTGATCAAGTGTTGATGTATAAGTGTGTGTTTAATAGCTGGTTGATATAGATTTCTGCAAGGTTTGTGTCCAACCTTTTTATTTAGTGTTAATGTTGAGCTTGTGTTGGGGCAGCAGATTTATTAAATGGCGATGATGAAAAGGAAGAGAGGTTGAGTGTGTATGTAAAGGATTCTGGTAAACAGCATTTTGATTGAGTGTTAGTTTTGAAGTTTGTGTTGAACATGTTTGAGTGTTTATGTTAAAGATTGTGGTGGACAGCAGGTCGAAGTAGCACTAAACACGTCATCAAGCAAAAACAAACTGAAAATTATCCACAAGGATCCTTACACTACCAATTAAATTGAAGGTTTACAGACTATAAAAATTTGGTAAGGGGCCCTGAAAAACTTAATTTTAATTACGAGATCACTTAAATTTGTACAGTGCAGTAATAATAAATAATTCAGTCCACAGTTAAAATATGTCAAAAGATATCATAATAATTGAAAATCAGCTATTTTTAATACACTTTAAAAAACTTTAACGATCAACATTTTAACCATCTTTATCAATCATATCATTTAAACTCACCTTAAAATTCCAACGCCTTGTTAAAACTTCGACAAAGGCTTAAATTATATCACCGACATCTTACCATTACAACGGACTGTCACTAAACCATTAACGAAAGCGAGTTTCAGTTCGAAGACGAGCCTAATCCGATACAGCTGACGTTTCAACATTGATATTCGCCGATTGAGCGCGTTTATATTCATTTCAACTTTCATTAATTGCCTTCAAACGCTTTCAATTTTGTGTCTCCCTTTCGTTACGGAGACAGTTATGATTTATTGTATCTTTTTTGTGAGTTTGAAAGATCTTTTCGAGGATTCTGTCGCCAATCACGTTTTTTGTGACAAATCATCCTCTTCGAAGTAAAGGTAGTAATGGTTGACAGATTTAATGAGATTAAAAAATATTTTCGATGGGTTGGCCAAGATCTTTTTTCAGTTTGGGCAAACCATGTTTTGACCTTTTTTCACAACTTGATATTGTTAGTAAAATTTTGTTATCACTAAGTGTAAAAGATAAAAAGAAAAATTGATTAAGTAATGTTTCAACCTAGCTATGTAATGGTGTAGCTTAATAGCCTAGGCGTTGTCTAAAATATCGGTTAACTAACTGTGGAAAATGTATGCAAACAAATTAGCAAGCGAGTTTATTAAACTAGCCAAATGGACTGCAAGTAGCCATTCACTTGACAATAATTACATTTAATGTTCTGTAAACGCTGCTGTAGAACGTACATCTAGTTTCTTTCCGGTTGTTTGAAGAATTTCAGTTGTATTAATATACATTACAGTTTCAAACGATCATCCTAATATGATATATGGAGTTATTATTATTATAAGGTCGAGACGGATTTTAACTTGTTATACGTTCTTCTTAGAGTAAATATATTATAGGTTGGTATTTTTCCTATTATCTACTTATTCATAAGTATTGTTATGGAAGGTTACCTTTTTACAGCACCTGGCAAAATATTTGTCAAACCAATAAGCAAAATAATATTAAGGTATGTGACTTCTTGCGTAAAATCGCATTTAAAAAGGTACAGAAATATAAAAGCCTTTACTTTTGAGTTTTTGGCATTGCAAATGTATTTTGAGTTTTATTGTTAATGTATGGCTCTTTTTGATGATCACATAAACCCTTTTCCTTTTCCTTAGAGCCATATAATTTCCTGGTTAACCTAATTGGTGACCTAACAGTTTAAATGAAAAAGGCTCTAAACTATTGATTCGCCACATTTTATATCCAAAGATTATCTGGAATCAGTTGGATTCGAACCTGGAACCGACCGGACAGAGGTCTCGCGCTGTAATCCCTAAAAACCAAACTCCCGTTGAATACATCAGACCAATAAACCTTATATCGGAAATTATCGTTTTGTGAACATATTAGATAAAATAGCTTATTCCCTTTATGGGAAATTGACTAAAACTCAACAATTTAAACAGCTTTTTAGCACATGGTTTGAATATTTCCAGTAAATGAAATATAAACAACATTAAACGAGATTATTAGATTGTCAGCCAATAAAGCACGCTTGGCCGGAACTACTTTGTAGGTAATTCACCGATGAATATATTGATTATAAGTGATAAGGAAAACTGCCTATCGTCCTCAATAGAACATCATTTATTTTATTTTTTTAAATAGGTAGTGTAATAACTAATAATACTAGCTGTAATACAGATGTGTATGCCGTATCATGTGAATTGATACATACAAAACGTATTGCCAGAAGAACCTAAACCAGATAATATTTCTAGCGCTGACATAATCATTTTTTTAACATTCTACTGGTTCATCAAATAATTTTGTCTAATATGTACTGCCTCATAAAGCCAATGATATGAGTTTATAACACTTAACTATTGTAACTTTTAATCACCAACAGATTTAATTATTTGCATCAACCCTTATATTAGGGTAAAAAAATAATACCTGCATAACTTTTATTTTTAGCCAAAGAAATACTTTACTTTTATGTAAAATTTATTTAAATCCTCAACATGATATAGATTATTTTCTATATGAAGTGAAATAAGTTTTGTGACAATAATAAAATATTTCATCAGTTCTTCGGAAACCTTGAAGCAATACAATAAATTTACAATAATTTCAATACATTAAGATACGATACAATCAATTTCTTTTGTTTTGCAATTGCCTTTAAATAGTAAACACCTCATAATATCGTAATAGGTATCTGAAGCATGTTTAAATGTGTTCATTTAGCTTGTTAAGTTTGAGTTCGCTTATGCCGACTCAATTACTCATGATTGTGGTTTGCTCTTAATTAGGGGAATATTTTAGAATTTTTTGCTCATTAATAAAAAATGCTAATAACAAAACACCTAATGTAAACCGTTAAACCTGGATCTAACCTTTCTATATGGCCCACAGCTGATCCATAAAGATGGCAAATGTAAATAAAATATGTTTAAATGTATAGTTTCATGTTCTTCCTTACGTTTTGGCTGTATCGTTCATTTCATTTAATTGAAACCAAATATACTTGACACCATCCAACTATGATTATGGTAGTTGTGAAAACAATCAGTGTTTCACAATGAGCTTTCCTGAGTTGGAGCTTCATGTAGAAACTCATTTGCCAACTGAGTTTCAAATTATTGACGCAAACACGTGGGAAGCGTATGTTACGCAGATTAGATTCTCAGACCATGTGTGTACTTAACGTTTTCATTAAACACTACAGTTCCGGGTTTAATCTAGTGTTTATCAATTCCATTATCCAGTAGAGGGTTCTGCAGTTAACATGAATGAGATGGGGGATAGAAATTAGTAAAGTTAGTGTTTTGTGCGTTGAAACACTCCCCTTACATAACGGTGGAGGCGAAGAAATCTTAAACTAATACAAATGATTTCCTATAGTACTTTTTTTGTATGATGAAGAGGTATTTGATTTTAAAATGGGATCCTGGAAAATGTGTTTTTACAGTTAAACATTAGAATTACCGTCTTAATGGTCTTTAAAATTTTTATTTTTAAAATAGGTATATTTATTAGTTAATCAAAAACGCGTACTGTTAATACATTTCATGTGACATTTTTAGCGAATTTCCCATACAGGGAATAAGCTATTACCGTAGTACTCATGGTAAGACCTGGACCCGGGACCGATTTACTTTTTCATATTGAGGTCCCTAGAGGAAGTACTTGTTTAACTAATGCTATTTAAATAGGGATTAAATGCGATATTTTTAAGGACATATTTAAGTGTAAATCCAATCAGGTCTGCAGATTTGCTGCGGCGGGGATATTTATTAATGTTTTCCATTAAGCAAATCTTTGATTTGATAGGTTTTGAACTTTTGCAGATTATTATACAGTAGTTTTCCGTTTTTTCTTGGCTCTGCCTCTTTTCTTAACTTTCTTAGCATAAAGAGGGTTTATTTAATACACCCTTTCTGTTATGTGACGATGTCAATAAAATAAAAATTATTGAGAAATTAGTTGTGTGTATGTAAACACCAATAATTGTACCTAATCGATGTTGTGTTTAAGGGATCGTATTTATGCTCAGCTATTTTTGAACTACTTACATATGAGTATAATTTCCTTTTTAATGTTAATAATTCGCTGAAATTAGTAAATTGAATATCAACTTTATTTTTAGCTATTCTAAAATAAGTCAATTGTTTCGAAAAATAGCTGTATCTCGTTTTGTACAGAATATGGTTTAAATGTGGTGTAAATGGATACCAATAAAATATATTTAATATCGTCAAATGAAAAGCGCAATATTATATTGTGTTCTTTTTTGTTAAAGATATTAAGTTAATTAAATCCTAAACTGGAAATGCGTTTAGCAAATTAATCTGTAAAACCATCAAGCTTCGAGTATACTGTAATGTATAATTTTACGAATCGAAACTTCAAAGTTTTTAGTTACGAAAAGTTGTTAAAGGTTAATGTAGGGAGTAAACTGCTCGAGTAAATTAAATCATTTTAGCTTTTTGGGATGAAAACAGGTCAAAACTATAACTTAAACTTTGTGAAAGCACAGCAATGATAAGACTGCACTCATAGT